ACCTGAATCTGACCACTGCACAGATCTGTGTGGAGAGAGGAATTAGACAGGTAAATCTCAGAGATATTGTACACAGAAATACAAGCCCAATTCCAGACAAGTTGGAACATTTTGTAAAATGCAATAAAATCAAGAATCTGTGATGTCTTCATTCTCTTAAACTTTTATTTAATTGACAAAAGTACAAAGAAAAGAAGTGCAAATAAGATTTAAGTGAATTTCTGTTTAATAACCCTGAAATGTCACAAAGCTTCAAAAGCTATATTTCACGAGTCGTAAAAACCACTTGTATGTAACGTTTATGGTATTATATTGTAATTTTTAAAGCCTTACAGTTGTGAAAGTAATCACCATCCACATTCATTGTATGGAAAAATCCAGCCTAGCCTTTTGCATCTCACATAGGATTTGATTCAACATGAGACGTGAGAAAATTAAATAATGTCCCAAAACTTATAGATCCTCAGAGAAAATAAGTCAAGTTTTATATTTGTGATTCAGTTCAGTCTTACCCCACTGCAGGAGTCCTGTGAGACACAACAATAGTTGCAGGTTCCACTTTTGGCACCAAAGGTCTACCATCCTTAAATTGAGCGATCCTTTTGCTTGCTTTCTCATCTCTAAGTTAATACAGGTTTCATTGAGAGTGCCTAAACCTAATATATGTTCTCTGAAGCAAGCGACTGTGACACATCAGATAAAGAGGAAACAAGTGTGATGGATATGGTTTCCTGTCGTCTCGCACAGCGCACTGATGTTCACACTTGCTTCACTGTCCTCAAATTCTCATCATTGTTTGTGTGAACAGAACATTCTAACATACCAGCAGTTTTTTTATGCAGCATGATTTGATTATGCACAGCGAAAAGCTGAGTTTTTTTTTTTAAATAGTGAATAGCCATTTTAATGGTAGTTACATTTTAACACAAAGTTTCAAAATCTCAGTTTTGAAAAAAAAATAAAAATAAAAATAAAAAAAATAAATATATATACATATATAGATATAGATATAGATATCTTAACAAGTCTCTAATGATCCATAATTGAAACCCAGATTGGAAAATTAGCTGACCTAATTATTTATTTACTTACTTAATATTTTTGCATCTTTTGATTCCTATGTAACTATATTCTTTACAGGTATACCGTAAATTTAAAAAAGATCACAATTTGATTACATTTTATATTAGCCCTAAAGCCAGTGAAAACTTATTCAATCACACTCTTAAAGGCATAGTTCACTCAAAATAAAAGTTAAATTCTGACGACAACAACAACGACTTTATTCTGATACATTCGTCTATGTTAAAGAAAGTAAACACCATATGAGCGCTACTTCAGAGAGCAGAAAGTGTCCAACCTAATTTCTGTTTTCAAGGCCTCCATGACTTGTCAGGCAAGCTTCAGTCGAACGCACCTCTTTGCTAATGCCATGATACAGATGTAATAGATGTAACATCTCAGCCCAAATTTCCCCTTCTAGATCACTAGAGGGTGCCTTCTCCAGAATATAGAACTGTTACTCTAGTTCCTGTCACGTTACTTCCTGGTTGTTCATGTTGGGCCACATAGTTTTCTCACTCAGTCTTTGTGAAATATTGTTTGTCTAGACTGTTATGAGTGGTTTTGTTGTTGTTGTTATTTCCATGCCATGTTGTGGAGTACCCACCTTGCTTTCATGTTTACCCTTTTGGATTTAGGCCTATCCTGTTGGTGCACGTGGATCAATCCTTCATGTTACAATGAAACAGAATATAGCATTGTGTACAAATTGTATCAAACTCTGATATTAATCTGTATCATATGTATTAGTCTTCAGTCAAACTCTTCAGTCCGATTACCCAGTTCAGTTTAAGACAAAGTTCTGATTCCCCAAAATGAAGATGGATCTCGCACCAGTCTTCACACCACGTCATCAGAGAAGAGATGTTATTATTGGAAGCACTTTAGTGCCTTTGATTAAAGATTACAAGGGCACATGACCTTAAAAAAAGTGATATGCACTGATAAATCATTTACAATAAATACTGCAACATTCCGTAAAATAATAAGAGATGTCCATTTTGATTTTAAGGTGTCTTTTAGAGTCCTTATAAAATGATTGTAAAAAATTTGTATTAAAGCTAATTGAACATACTGCAATATTAGCATCTAATATAAAATTAATCCTAATATATTATTACATTTAAACTATAACAATGTAAATAAATGCAAATCATTTTTGTGCGAATTTTATTTATTCATTCATTTCTAAGTAATGTTAAATATTCGAATGCCAGGGCAAGCTAAACACCTAGGGCCTCATTTCTAAAATGTGCGTACGCACAGATTTGATCTTAGAGTGCGTGTACGCTAAAATCCACGGCAACGTGCATATTTACAAATAAAATGAGCAGGCGTACGCACTTTTCCTTGTGGCAAAGTCAGAGTACTG